AAAGATGAAATACATAAAATTCGTCTCCTTCTATTGAGTCTCGGTGAGATGAGTCTCAGGTAGCTTTCTTTTTCTTAGAAAGGATAGAGTTTTTCTTCTTTTGATTGTTGTAGTGACTGAGTTTTCTTCTTTACTATGTAAGCTTTCTAGCTCCTGTTCAGCTTTCATATTTTATTTGTTTATGCAGGCAGCATATTTCAGCATCAGATATAAAATCTCTCATAGCCTTTTTTGAAAGTAGCCAGGACATGGCATGCATTGAAGATGTTCTGCATATGGTTATTCGGGCTGTTTCTCAGAAACAACTGCTTGCATCTTTCCTTGAACAAGTCAATATGATTGGTGGTTGTCACATATTTGTAAATCTTCTTGAAAGGTATGACCTCAAATTGTAGAAACACATATTTCAGTTATCATAATTGTCGAATTGTGCGACCACCCCATCTAAAAGCTTAAATTGTTAGAGGTGCTACCATTGTGAGAAATGAAAGAAAAAACAACAAAATTTAGAGAAACTCAGCTTGATTATTCTTTGAAGCTATTGGGTGTTTAAATATTGAAGTATTCATGCTCTAAATTAGGAAGGAAAATCAAGAATTACACCCTACAGGAAATCAATCAAGCTAACTGAAATCTATACGCCTAATTGACACTATCTGATCCTAATTGATATAACATATTTACAATATCTCTAACACTCCTCTCAAGCTGGTCCATACAAATTGCATGTACTAAGCTTGCTGCACAGTGTTTTTAAGAGCGAGAAGCGCAAAAAAGTGACAAGGGCTCGCCTCGCTTCAAAAGCGAAGCGCACGCTTTATAAAAGTGAAGCGCAATAAAAAAATAATTAATTTTATAAACCGAAAATGCATATAATATATATATTAATTAATTTTATAAACTGAAATACATATTAAAAAAATCAATTAAACTAAAATATAACACACACACATACATACATATATATTTATATATATATAATAATGAATTTTCTAAAATGAAATACATATAAAATTAATCAAATAAACTGAAAATATAACATATATATAATAACTAATTTTATATACTGAAATATACACTATAATAAGAAGGAAAAAGAAAGAAAAAATAGGAGAATCTGTTCTGGACTAGAGAAAGAAAGAAGAAGAAGAAGAAAGAAAAAAGAAAAAAATGAGAAGAACTGAAGAAGAAAGGAGAAGAAGAAATTACCTGGACTGGAGAAATGGTCAGCAATGGTCGAGTCGCGAGCGAGAAGGGAGAAGGGGTCGAGCTCGAGCGAGAGAGAAGGGGTCAGCAATGGCGAGAACCTTAGGTTTTGTCGATGTCTCTGTTTTGTCGAAGGGGTCTGTTTTGTCGATTTAGGGGCCTGTTTTGTATAATAAAAAAATAGACTCAAAATTTTTTTTTTTTTTTAAAAGGGCCCTCTGCGCTTTTTTAACAGAAGCGATCGCTTTCCTCGCTCTGTCGCTTCGTCCATTGAAGCGTGTGCTTCCTTCGGTCGAGTCGCCTCAGGCAGCTAGAAGCGATACTGGGTTGCTTCGCGCTTAAAGCGACGAAGTGATCGCTTTTCTAATCACTGTTGCTGCATATGTAACTTGTCCTATGAATTGATGAATAATATATCTGCAAGCTGATCATTCGACTCTATAAACTTTGTGACGATGTCTCATGGGGGTGTTTTATTTCTCTGACGAAATGACAATCAAAGACTTTGTGCTTAGTCCTGTCATAAAACACCAAATCTGATGCAATATGAAGATGCAACTTGATTGTCACATATGCTGGTATAACTCAATTAAGTTGTAACAGATTACTACTCAGTGAAAACCAGATTTTTCAACAATTAGCCCGTGTACGTACTCGTCACCTTGCGTACACGGCGCTCACATAACACAGAAATATCACAACAATACCAAATCCTAAGGGAATTTCCCCCGCACAAGGTTAGGCAAGCCACTTACCTCGAGCCAAGCGCAATCAATCAACAAGAATGCCTTTTCCTCGGTTTTCTGACTTCGTATGGCCCAAATCTAGCCAAAAATAATTACATACTATAAATACAACTAATATAAACTAATCTAATTAATGAAATCAAGATTTTAACAAGAATTTCGAAAATCGCCCCTAAAAGTCGACCCGGGCCCACGTCTTGGAATCGGATAAAAGTCACAAAATATGAACACTCATTCAACCACGAGCTGAAACTAATGAGTATGGTGCGAGCGGTCTCAATCAAATGCTATTTTTCCTGTTAGCTATTTTATTTTCTTTAGAGGTGCGAGGAGGACGTTTGATATATGATCCCATGAGAGTTCATTAACCGTTAAAATGGAGAAGATAAACATTCTGGTGCATTATTACTATGAAAAGAGTAGATATAACCCCAAATTGATTTTGGATTTGAGTATGGAGGTCTGGAAAATGGAAAATAACTCGGATAGATCTTTCATCAAGAATATCCAAGTTCATCTTGAATAATAATCCATGACACTGACAAAGTCGCGGAATACCAAAGTAGAACTAACCCGACTAGGACCCCCACACATCTTAATGAAGTAAAGAGAAAGGAAAGTTGCTCGATTATCAACTCGTCGAGGTAAGGGAAAATAAGTATGCTTACCGAGCCGAACCCATCACATTCTTCAGTAGATAAGTAAGACAAATTAGATATCATTTTCTGAAGCTTTGATAAACTAGGTTATCTTTGTAGATTCTTTACTTTTGGCATACTGTTGTATAGGGAAGAGTTTTTCATTATTAGTAAAATTATTACTTTATAAGAAAAGATAAACTAGGATGTCTCAATCATTTAGGTGAATTGGTAATAAGACAAGCTTTATATGATTTTTGAAGGCTTAGGTAATAAAGTCCATGTGATTCATGTCTTGAATCAATGACTAGTCCCGTACAATATTCTGTGTGACACCAAAGTTACGGAAGAAGGTTTGTGAGTAGTTAAGTGTCTGGGTTAAAGGACTTATGGATAAAGACAACCATAAACAGAAAAAACTGAAATCAAAGTTACGGAAGAAAGTTGGGTAGCTTGAGCTATTTTTGTTGCCATGGTTTATGTTGGCCATTGTGACTATTAGTAGAGATTGATTAAGAAATGACAGAGAAATGATTTATTTACCAGAAATATGATTAGACATACCTGAATCAATGACCCAAAGACTGAGAAAAAGAAGATTGGAAGACACCAACCACGCTATTACCTATCTGAATGAGAAAAACTATTCTAGAGTATGTCCCGTTTAAGTGTTTTATTATGAAGGAACTCAAATATAATATATTCTTCGTGTCTTTTGATGCACCTATGAAGTTTCTATTTGTATAGAAGATTGGTATCTTTCGCGAAGAATCCTATCTTTCTGTAGATTCTCTATTTTTTGGCATGCCTCTTGTGTATGAGAGGTTTTTCCACCATAAGTGTTAAAGTCTTCCTTTCATTATTAAACTTTGTGCCAAGTCAATTATCACAAACAAAATGAAATGAAAGAGTAAAATCATGTAAAGAAACCATCATACTATTCAAAGTATTGGATTCCATTTTATTGCAACCAAGTTTCTCAAATCCCTGGAAGCTGCGGGGGAAATCGACTTAAAGATGACTTAAAACCTGAAAATTCCTATTGGAAAATCAAGTTCACCGTAGGTAGAATTTGAAGTTTGTTGTAACCCGTTTTGCTAGTGGTTGGAATCTGGAAACCTTTAGGTGGATGGGGTCGGAAAAGAAAAGTCAATCCCTGAGAAATAGATATCTTCACCTGAAGTGGCCGGAAAACTGTACCCTGATCCGGTGGTAGGAATTTGGGAGCACCTCGTGGATTGATTAATGAGGGTAGAAGAAAAGGTTTTCTATTTAAGGTTCCCGCTCCTGAAAATGGGTATTAAACAAAAGACATTGTGGGTTTGGTAAAACCTCTTTTGAGAGGAAAGATCTATCAAAGCAGAGAGTCCAAAGCCAGAGGTTTTTTCCCAATGCGTATGCTTAAATGTAAGACTTGGAATATATTATTTATCTGTTCTTTATTAATGGGATACGAATGTAGTGGGACGTTCTTTTTATAGATCCTTCGAGCGAGAAAGGTGCTGTGCCGGGGCCTACTCAAGGTCACGAGGAGATAACACCTAAGAGCCAACCCTTCTAGCTGGAAAACGTCTAGAAATGGTTCACACACTCGGCATGTGAAGAACCTGTCGCGAAAATACTAGATTTGATCGGTGCATGTAGGCACGCAAGATCGTTATTTTCCCGCATGACTCATCTTGTTTTGCTCACAAGAGGGTGATGTGACAACTTTCACAACCGCCAACAAATGCACAACGGCGATACTATTTTCCGAACTTTCGCTAGTAAATGTGCAATGAGTAATTGCTCACGAAGGCTATGATAACAACAAACAACAAACCCAGTGTAATCGCACAAATGGGGTCTGGGGAGGGTAGAGTATACGTAGACCTTACTCTTACCTTGTCAGGGTAGAAAGGCCGTTTCCGATAGACCCTTGGCTCAACGACGAAAGCCTGTGATAACGTGTGAAGAAAATGGACTTTGGACCTAACTCAAGCCAAATGCTAACTTATGAGGTGAGATTGCCCAAGACCTTAAAATGGGACAAGAACTCATTTCCACAACCAATGTGGACAATCTAGCATAGATCAACTTTAGCAACTGTAGAATATTCTGCTATGGTTTTATTGTTTTTCTGGATAAGGATAAACTTAAATAAAAGCACAATTATCCCTGTGAGCTAGGTGGACTATTGAACAACTGGCAGAGGGTCTTGCGATGTCAGATATTTTCCTTAGGCCTAAGGATTGTGCAGTGTGAAATTTTCATTGGTAGAAGATATTCTTAAGTTCTCTCTACATTATAAAAATTTACTTTGCTATTGTCCTACAGGTTTCTGATACTTGGCATGCTCTCATTCCATTTCTGTTTTCTAACTTGGATGTGTTACCATTTCAATTCCCTTTTAATGGTAACAACATAATAATTTGTATTGTTTGTAATTACGTAGTAATTCTTTACATTATATTTAGGCGAAATATATAAACGACCCCTTTAAGTTATCCACAACGATCAGACAAACACCTCAACTGACCCCTTTATCATTGAGACGCTGTAAGTGTCTATTAAATAGATCAAGTAAATACATGTCGCTGATGTGGCTGCGTGTTTGCTAACAAAATTTTGAGCGCGTGAATATATTTTTTCAGCTAATTTTCTTTTGGTGGAAAAAACAAGAAATAGCCGCAACTTAGCCCCTCTTCTTCGTTTCAACTGCAACCCACCATAAAACCACCATAGAGGCCATGAAAATCAGCCACTAAAGCTCCAACTAAACCACCTTAAATCACCAGAAACTGCCGCCTTTCATCACAAAACTTACTGCCCGTACCTCCAGAGCTCCGCCTTATTCCGTCGAGCCAAAATCAATCTCGAGCCCAACTGAAAGAAGCAGCAAAAATTGCAGCAACAACAGCTGCAAAAAACCACCAAACTCCATTAGATAACGCCCCTTTTCATCCAACTACATCTTCATTCCAATAGAAACACACAAACAACAACTAATTATTTGAAGCCGCCGATAATTGTAAGGATAATTTTACACCAAAAATAATAAATTAGAAAAACAAAAGTGATATAAGCGCACATTCATAACCAAAAAATGATGTAGAGAGAAGACTGAAGATTTCAGTAGAATCGTTTCTTTCAGCTTTGCTCAGGGATCAGTTTTCCGGCGAGAGACATGAGCTTTTTTCCGGCGAGGTCCGTCAATGATTCCTTGTTCTGATATAAGGAATGGGAGGAGGGTGGATTTGGGAAAAGGGGACGGGGGACGCAGAAGATGGGCAGAAGGAAGAAGATGAAATGNTTAAATGTGTTAAAGTTTTATTACAAATTACGCGTGTCGTTCATTAATTGGCTCATTTGACAAATAATTGGCAAGTGTTACTCACGTATATGATCTGTTGCACTCGGGTATTTACCTGATCTACTAAATAGACACTTGAAGTGTCCAAATGATTAAGGGGTCATTTGAGGTGCTGTTTGTTTGTTGTGGACAACTTAAATGGGCCGTTTATGTATTTCGCCTTATATTTGTATTCCCGTGTACATAAATTGTTGTAGTGAACGTGCCTTCTGAAGTAATTTGTTGGAATTATTCAAAACCACAGTCTGTTTCGATTGTCCATCGTTTGCTGTACTTGTTGCAGGGACTTCGAGCCCATCAGGCTACTAGGTCTGCAGTTCCTTGGACGACTGCTGGTTGGTCTTCCGTTAGAGAAGAAAGGATCAAAATTTTTCAGTATTGCTGTTGGCAGATCTAAATCTCTCTCAGAGGGCCTTAGGAAAGTTAGTTCAAGGATGCAACCCATTTTCTCGGTTATATCTGACAGACTGTTTAAATTTCCTCAGACAGATCTCTTGTGTGCAACATTGTTTGACGTTCTGCTTGGCGGTGCCAGCCCTAAACAGGTGATGCATGTTAATTGGTGCTCTCGTTTTTTTCCAGATAACAATCTCACTTAGCAAGTCATGCTATTATACAATGTACTAACTGGTGGTTGCGTTGCAAAGTTTGATTTGTTTGATTAGTTATTCAATAGTTAGTGCACATGCAGAAGTTCATTGAACTATTTGGATCTTTTGTTTCAGGTTCTACAGAAGCATAACCAACTCGACCTTCAGAAAAGTAGCAGAAATAGCTCTCAGTTTTTCCTTCCTCAGATTTTAGCCCTTATTTTCAGATTCTTATCAGGTTGTAAGGATGCTCCTACAAGAATAAAAATTATTAGCGATCTACTTGATCTTCTCGATTCGAATACTACAAACGTTGAAGCTCTAATGGTAGAAATCTGATCTGTTGCTTTAGGATATTTCCCATCTTTAACTTTGTTTCGATGAGGCATAATGACATTCTTATTGTTTGAACATTGTTGCTTAGGAACACGGGTGGAATGCATGGCTGGATGCCTCCGTGAAGCTTAATGCATTGAAAAACTACAAATTGGAGTCGAAAATTAACAATGATACTGAAACTAGCGAGCAAAATCTTTTGAGGAGTTTCTACTGTGTTGTTCTTTGTCATTACATGCATTCTATAAAAGGTGGCTGGCAACACTTGGAGGAGACCATGAACTTTCTCCTTGTACATTGTGAACAAGTATATTCTTACCTCTACTTTGTGAGACAATCCTTTTACAACTTGAGTTTTGTTGTCAACGATTTGACTATTTCAAGCTTTTGTTCCTAGGGTGGAATTGCTTTTAGGCACTTCCTTCGTGATCTGTACGAGGACTTAGTCCGCAAGCTGTTAGACTTATCTGCGGTGGGAAACGTTCTTATCACTCAGCCTTGTCGAGACAACATGCTGTATCTTTTAAAACTTGTTGATGAGATGCTTCTTTCTGAAATGAAGTATAATCTTCCGGTACTTGTCTCGCTTGAAACTCTAGCTCCTCCACCCATTGTTTTCTCTCTATTCTTGGTCAACTGAAATTAACTGCTATTTTGCTAAATGTGTAAGTGATTATTGTATTTTTGCTTTTCCTCCACACCATAACAATTATTGCCTTGTCCACAAGCCACTTGCAAAGGTTTTTGGTATTATTCCCGAAACATAAATGTTATAGTAAGTTGATGCAAGTTGTTTGTAGCTCACATTGCAGGTTTAAATTTCAGAACTAGTAGCTTTAAACTTTTGAAAAAGTATCTGAACTGTGAGCTCCTGTATCTAGCACTCTAATTTTACCTTCTCCTCGTCTCCCTAGTATTGCTCAGAATATTTGTTTGAATATACGTTTTTAAGTACAGGATTTTCGTCTGGCAAGTTACCCTTGATAAAGCCCCTTTCATGTGGCAAGTCTCCCCTAATGACGCCACAACATCTTGAATTCTTGAGTAATTACCTTGTTCTCTTCTCCTGGGTAAACATACTTATTTGTACCCTAGGGAAATTTACCAATGCCCTTGGTTTCTCCTCTGTACTCTGATCTCCCACTTGCTTGAAAGGTTTTATAATTTTTCCGCTTTGAACTTTAGCGTTCTATATTTTTTTGGTACACCCTCGAGAATGAAGAATCAAATAAAATCAATAACCTCATGGAACATGCTAAGCATCCTATATTTAAAGTTATTGGCTCTTGTAAACAGGGTATAGTGGAATGGATATTAAGGATTCACTGTTCAAGGAAAATTTTCTTTTCTTTTTTTATGGTATCAAAGTTCGGTCATTGTACTAGAAAATCTTCATCTCTTCATTGTTTCAAGATAACGCATTGCTGAGTTGATCTTGTGTCACCACGGAATGAGGAGAAAAATGAGCTGGTGTGCTCAACTTAATTTTCTAACTTTCATTTGCGAACTGAAGTTGCTGGACTACCTTGAATTTGAGTGGACATGTTGAAAACCAAGAGAACTAAGGTGTTGAATGTCAAGAGAATTAATTGTTACATGTTAGAATATCTATGTTAATGTTATGCAACTTCTTCAGCTGTGTCATAGTTGAAATTCAGGTAATTACGAAAGTTCCTTAGGTTGAACTTTCCTTGTTGGCCAAATACATACGCGGCCCCCTAAACTTGTCCGCTATTTTCATTTAGGCACTTAAACTAGGGCAAGTACCTATTGAACACTTTTTGTGGTAGAAATATGTACTATTGGACACAAATTTAATAATCTCAAATTATGTTTGGTGCGTGAGTATCACTTGCTATCCCATGGCAATCGACCAATGGAAAAAGACATGTCAACAGAAAGAAAAAGCAAAAATCTAAAATAAGAACAAATAAAAAAAGAAAGAAGAAAAATGTCCTTCTTCCTATCGCTGTCCCCAATCCCTCGCCAGCCAAATCCCCTGCCGTCGGCCGAACCCCTCGCCCATCTTCTCCATAGATCACCCCCCTTTGTCTTCTCAACAAACCCAATAGATAGGAAAGGCAGAGTAGTACTGTTTATGGCAGGTTTGATACATCTTGCAGTTTCTGGGTTATGCAGTAGCCATTTTATTTCAAGACCATAATCTCAAATTAACTGATGTACTGTTTTTGAAAAAAAAAATAGGATTATAAAATTGTGATACCAAGCTTAAATTTCTGTTGCGGAGGTAACTTTGTACTGTAATGTGTCGTTTTAACTGAATTTGAAGATATCCCTCCACCATTCAGCATCTATTAGTGGAGTAGTAAGATAATTTCCTTTGTCTTTAATTATCTGCTATCATAATGCAATTATTTTGTTTGAGCTCCTGAATCTCCTTGCATTGATATTTGATTTCATTGATAACACAAGGATATAGGAGAGAATTAGCAAGTTTTTTGTTTACAGTTCCAAATGTCAAAAAACATCAGCAGTGACGGAAGAACCTTGAGTAGGTGATTTGGGTCCTTAAAAAATCTCTCTGGCAATCTCCATTCTTCTCGGCAAACAAAACTAGGATAGGTTTTTT